AGCATAGTCAAAACCCTGCACAGGCTAAAGAGGAGAGAAGAGAGTACAGGAGGAGAGGAGAGGAGAGCAAAAGGGAGGAGATGAGACAGAAAGAGAAGACCAAAAATGACGAGACGAGATGAAAAGCGATGAGAAGAGAAGAGGAGACCAAAAATGAGGAGATGAGACAAGAAGAGAAGAGAAGAGAAGAAAAAGCCCAAAAAAGAGGAGATGAGACAAAAAGAGAAGAAAAGTCAATAGAAGAGAAGACCAAAAATGAGGAGATGAGACAATAAGAGAAGAGAAGACCAGAAGAGAAGAGAAGAGAAGAGAAGAGAAAGCCCAAAAATGAGGAGATGAGACAAAAAGTGAAGAAAAGTCAAAAGAAGAGAAGACCAAAAATGAGGAGATGAGACAAGAAGAGAAGAGAAGAGAAGAGACAGGGAGAGAGATGAGAAAAGAAGAGAAGAAAAAGCCCAAAAAAGAGGAGATGAGACAAAAAGAGAAGAAAAGTCAATAGAAGAGAAGACCAAAAATGAGGAGATGAGACAATAAGAGAAGAGAAGAGAAGAGAAGAGAAGAGAAGAGAAGAGAAAGCCCAAAAAAGAGGAGATGAGACAAAAAGAGAAGAAAGGTCAAAAGAAGAGAAGACCAAAAATGAGGTGATGAGACAAGAAGAGAAGAGAAGAGAGGAGAAGAGAGGAGAAGAGAAGACCAAAAATGAGGAGATGAGACAATAAGAGAAGAGAAGAGAAGAGAAGAGAAGAGAAAGCCCAAAAAAGAGGAGATGAGACAAAAAGAGAAGAAAGGTCAAAAGAAGAGAAGACCAAAAATGAGGAGATGAGACAATAAGAGAAGAGAAGAGAAGAGAGGAGAAGAGAAGGGAAGGGAAGAGAAGAGATATAATAAGCACTTTCAGAGTGCTGGTGTTTTATTTCATTCAGCAATGCTCTGTTAGCTGCACTGATTTATTAATACACTCAGACTATTCTCAGAGTCGCTGTATTTCACACAGCTCATATATGACGTTTATGCTCGCCATGAGATATTTAATGCGGAAATGCTACGGAAGCTCGTGGATCCTCTCTCTTTAAGATGAATTATGGATCCCTCTCCAGCTGAGACAGCATACGGACACCGGAGCATCTCTCGGCTGTTAAGGAGATGCCTCGGTGTGTCTGAGAGTGTCACTGTGAGGATGCGGCAGGGGAAAATATAAACGTTTGAGAGTGTTTAATAATTCAGGACTTCTTGCACTTTTATTGTGTGGGCTGCTGTCACAGATATTTGAAGCAGGAATCAATAAAGTCCCATCTCCTGCACCTCTCTGGACTATGAATGTGAAGACAGCGCTATATTTAGCTAGCAGTGAGCGAATCCACAGAGACAGCTCTCTCCATTTCACTCGGACTTTTGCTAGTCGCTGACCTTGAGCTGCACATGTCCTCTTCTTTAATCATGTACTTCACATGTACTGTAGTTCACTCAGGGGAAATCTGTTCACTTTACACTAAGGTCTTATCAGGCTGAGAGGTATGGAATGAGAAATCTGCCATGATCATCTGTATATAATGTTCTACAGGTTGTACTTTGGAACCTTATTCTGTTTTCATAAAAGATATGATAAAAATTGTATCGATGTACACAGAAATTAATTTTGGGTGATGTATTCTGAAATATTTTTATATTGCAGCACCTGGAAAATCCTGCTGAATTTTATTATTATAAAAAGCGCACAGTGATCCATATTAGCAGTAACTCAGACACTAACAGTGATCTTTAATCTACACATTAATTACTGAAATATATCCAGGTCATTCATGCTCGTTGATTAACTTCATTAAAAATTCAAAAAGATAGATAAATGTAAAGATAGGCATAAAAATTCAGGTTTGTACATTTTAAATTCAGATTGTAATGGCTCATTTTTCATTCCACAGGGAAAATCGAACCCGTACATACAATAAATCTTAGTTTAGTATTAATCTCACAAATGTAGCTGAGATTGAACTGCGTTTGTGGCGAGACTTGAACCTCTCGAAGGTCCGTTGCACTGCACATACTTACCGCACACAAGCCAAGAAATCATGGACTGCTTTCAGTCCACACAAAAGCACACATACACACACAGGCATGCAATTAATCCGCAAAAGGAGCTCTAAAGGCTGCATTCATCGTAAGCAGTCAAACGGTGTCTCGCTGTGCTCTCCTGGTTTCACCTCAGTGGATCCTTTGTGCATTTTCTCTAAAGCTACAGCATCTACAGAGGCGAAACTGGAACACTGTGCTAACTGCAGATTCGTAAGAATACGCACGTTGGCGAATCATTTCCCTGAAAGCAAGTCTTAATAAGATTGAGAAAGTAAGGGTTCCTGATTGGGAAAAAGCAGATGGTGAGGGTGTGAGATCAGAGCCAAGGCTGCGAGGAGAATAACTATGAGATTAACAATGAAGTGTCCATTTCATCATCCGCTCCTAAAAATTAACTCAGAAAGTTTCTGCTGCAGTGTGTCACTGCAAGAAAGCTGGCTGTTTCCAAAAACGGGATTTCACATATTCCACAGCGCTGTTGAATGTTTGACTGTGAAAAAAGGTGTTGATTAATTTTCTATAACAGCAGCTCTGACAATCGTTCTGGCTGCAAAGTTTATATTAATGCTCTCGTTCTAATACGTAATTGTTTCTATAGAAACAACGTGTTCAGGGACTTGTATGGTGGGCTCTCACATACACAGATTTAAAAAAACTTGTGTAATCATTAATATGAGGGGGAGATGTTTAATGTTTATGGAAGGAGTCTCCAGTGTCAGTGCTTCGGATCAGTCAGAAGTGAAGCTGTAACTTTACCTTTTCCACTACAGGAAAGTCTTAAAGATGGAAGGCTTTGCAATTTCTCTGTAAAATGATAAACTGAATTTTTTTTTGTCTTATTAACTTCCAGACAGAGAAAAATGAGAGGCTGGTGTGGGAATTGCAGTTATAATCCAAGTTATAACAGTTATAACAAGTTATAAGTATATATCCATTGAGTATTTCTCAATGGATAAAAAAGTATGACATGTCATTCTTTAATTATTCAGAATTTGCTGTGGTATAAGATGAATAAGAGCTGTTCTAGAAAAAGAATCAACTTCAGGGTAGTAACAGTAAATCTGCTTCGCAGGCCACATTACACCACCCTGTCGTTGATTGTTTTCCTATAACAGCACATTCCCAATGTTTTATTCCTTACATAGTCACCTTGTAGCTGTACAACTGCTGACTGAAGCTCATCTGTTGTTATGTACAGTCCATCAATGCAAAAAAAAAAAAAACAAAAACGCTAAGTGGTTATTATTTGGGTGGTTACATGGTAGTGTATCGGGCAAAGCTACAGCACTGGGATTTTAAACTCCTCACTGTCACTGCTGATTTGAGAAACAAGGTCAAAAACGGACCCTGATGAAGGCTAGCAAATGATTAACACACTCTGTGCATGTACTTAGATGAACTTTAATCTCAAACTGTACACCTACAAGGTGAACTAACAAGGTAAGAGCAGCCAATACTTTTGCACAGTGTTTAAAACCCCAGCGTCACTGCTACATAGAAACAGTGATATAGTATATCAATCAGCAAAGCAGCAGGTGATGAAAACCTTCAACGATTTATTTGTGAAATGTGCTTAAAATGTGTGAAACCATATTAATGCAAGCATAACTAATTTAATCGCAATAACTGCCTCCTGAGTTAATTGTAGCTCTTGGCTTTGCACTTGAGCCAGGTCCAATCAGCTTGGCTTTAGTTCTAATTTCGCCTGAAGGACGTAGGCTTGTGCTGGTCAATCACCATGATCGATGACCTTTCTCCTTATAGCTATTGATTTCCCACAAGCACCAGCAGAGGGAGAAAACCAGATCACGACCATGCAGCTAAACACCATGCACACACAACACTACAAGCAGCAGTACCTGATGGTGGTAACTCCCGTCTCTCCGATACGAGGTCTGGACAAAAGGAGGATTAAACACAAACGGATTTTAAAACACAAGGATTAGTCACATGGACGTGATGCCTGTGTTCTCTGTGTATTCAGTAAGTTAAAAAAAACAACACCATGTGGATTGTGAAATCATAAATGTTACTGGGCCATTCTACAACCTGTTTTTTGTCTGTTTTTTTATTCATAGCTGCTTTTACAGACACACTTGACTTAACAAGATCAGCAATGACGGGTTTACTGATAGTAACAACACAATATGAGACAAATTTGGCCTTTCCTGAAATGTAGGCAGCAGCCATTTTAGTTTCAACATCACAGACCATTTGAAAACTACCAAAATACGTCATAAATTACATTATAGGACAATAAAAAGTGGTGTTATAAACCCACCCAATAATGTGTGACTTCTTAACTGTTGATGTTCTATAGTAATTTGATTTACAATATGTTTTTTAATATTACTTCTTTTGCTGGAATTTGAGGATTTCTTTCTAGGTAACACCACTGACTGAAAAATTATGGCTGCATTTTTCCCACTGAAAAAAACTGCATTCAATTCTGACACAATAAATGGATAAAATGTGCACTGATATAGTATATATTCATAATTTTCAATTTATTTATTGAAATTTTAGTGAAAGTCCATGTCTTTATATTTTGTTACTTTTTGAAAATGTCAAAGCCAATATACAATCTTTTCATACAATGCCATCTTTCACAGTCAAATTGTAGAAATTTTTGCCTGCAATAGAACTTTCTTGCAACAATGGTGTTGTGATAACTGAAACTGAATAGCAGCGTTCCAGTTGTCAATTTGAACATTGTTTAGGTACTGAAATGCCTGAGTGACAGGGAATCTGAACTGTCTATTAATACTATATTCCAGATTAATGTAAGCAGTAAATAGCTAGCTAAATTTTTTTACACTTGGCTAGCTAATAAACACAGCACCAATAAACTAGCTAGCTAGCATTGGCAACAATCAGAGCATGTGCAAGACGTGACGAAAACTGTCTCTTTATAGTATTTTTAATATGGTGCCTGGAGGACTAGTGGTTAGGCCTCGGCGCTCTTACCACCGTGGCCCAGGTTTGATTCCCGGCAGGAGAACCAGCCACTGGGGTTGTACAAGACAGTGCACTTCCAGTGTCGGTTCCAAGCCCGGATAAAATTGGGGAGGGTTGTGTCAGGTGCCAAACCAAATATATGCGGACCAATGATCCGCTGTGGCAACCCCTAACGGGAGCAGCCAAAAGAAGAAGAACAACACGGTATTTTTAATGTGTATATAAGTTAGCTAAGTTATCTGGAGGAGGAATGGTTTCATAGTATGGGCTGCAGCAGGAGCAAGTCCTGTATACGCTAGCTTTTTTGAGTTCATCCCACACACACTGCTGGTTTTACTGAGTTTGTTGCCAGACAACAGATGTTTGACCTTTCCATTCAAATTGACAGGGTTTTTGTTTCTGGCATTTATAGCAGTGGATTTTGGCGTTTTTGGCATTTACAGCGTGGATTTTGAGTAGTCAGATTCTTTGAAATGCTGGCTTCAGCCTTTTAAAATACTCACCCTCATCCCAACAAATAGTACAAAGCCATTTCACTCCCTCAAGCACACTGGTGGGAAATAGTTGAAAGCTCAAGTATGCATTTTTGCTTGAATTATTTGTGCATTTTGGGACACTGTAGTGATTTTGAGCTGAATTTGCTGTCACTGATCACTATCTCACCAAGCATTTTGAAAAACTACTACTTACACTTCCGCATTCGTAACACAGAAGTGTGAAAAAGGTCTTTTACATTTGTTTCAGTATCTGTATAAATACATTGATGTTGAGTTTATCTGTAGTCTATAGCTTTCTGTACACTACCTATACCTTTTTGCTGCATCCTAACATCTGTAAGCTTGACAGTAGGGGTGTAACGATAGGCATATCAACATTTATTTTTGTCTATATATTCTGTATTTTATTGTGAGACAATGCACACTGTAAATCAAGTATAGCTACCTTTTATGCTATAAACATATATATTTACTATATAGCTGTGATTTGTGACATTAATTGGAATGGCTTCCAGTATCCACTGCTAGAAGAGAAAAAGCAGTATCCATGAAAAGCAGTATGCTAAAAGAAAAAAAATCCCCTCCTCCACCCAAAGCTATCTAAAATACGGCAAACAGACGGAGCTGGGAAACAAACAATTCCACTCTGCTATTTGCTTTCGCTGTTTTGATATGCTAGTTAATTAGCCCAGCTCTCATGGTGAGCAGTGACTGCAAGCTGGTACAATGTGGGTGTTATTATCAAATATGATTATTCATGATTATTCATGATTATTCATTTACAACATCACGGAAATATGTCAGTTACCGGATAGAGGAGAAAAGATGAGACCCTACAGCATTTCAGCAGCCACAAAGTGATGATTCTGAATGGGCCAAACAAATAACTTGTTCCATAGGGATATTTATAGCTATCAATTTGCAACCATACTCGGTTTGTAGAGAACCCTTACAACGTTCTTGAGACATGCTGTAAAATCTTTTCAGGCATAAGGAAATTATAGAAGTGCATTGCTACCATGCAATAAAAAAAAATCCCCATCAGCATCTTACTATTGCAAGAAAATAATCTCTTTATTATGAGACAAATATGTTTAAAATATGGCCTACATGGTTGCTTTTCTTGTAGTAACACAATGTTTTCTCGTAATAACAAGATGTTTTTGTAGGAATAAGAGGTTTTCTTGAAATAATGAGATGCTTTCTTGTAGGAATGAGAGGTTTTCTCATAATACTGAGTTCTATTTCACTTTGAATTCTAATATTACTTTTGTACTTTTGTATCAAAAATGCATAGTCGTGTGGAGATTGTGTGTCCGAATCCTGACGATGCCTTTGCCCAAGAGTTCAAGAGATCAAAATTGGCTATGCTCTCTGGGTGGGAGTGGCATACTCTCTTTCCCCTGTCAATCACAGCAACACTAGCCAATCGTGGGTGTCTGTGAGCTCAAGTATGTGGAAGAGGGTAGATAGCGCTTTCCTCCAAGTGTGTTACGCTGCCCTGTGATGCAACACGAACAGCAGTTTGCAACAATATGGTTGGCTGGCTTCACAAGTCTCAGAGGAAGAACGTATTAGCCTTCACCCTCCCCGGTTTTTCGCTGTCGTATGATGGGGAGAGCTGGCTGGTGGGTGGAAATTGGCCAAGAACAAAATAGGCAGAAAATGGGAATTTAAAAAAAGCGCATCGCATTATGGTACAAAAATGACAATACTTAACGTATTATGAAATTTGTCTATCGGTACACCCCTTTGTGACAGATCCCCAACATAAACAACCTAAAGATTATAAGACAACTCCAGTTACTGTGCTACCTGGAGATGGCGTGGTGTGCGTACCTTTGTGCGTGGATGGAACCCACGGAACGCACTGCTCTTGAAGACGTTGCGATTCCTCCTGCATATGATAGCGACCGCCATGACAATCACGACAATCACCAGTGACACCGGTGTCAGAACGGCCAGGATCCAGAGGTTACTGGGGACACTCTTCACCACGGCTGCTCGTGAGAACACACATCCACACACAAACACACAAAGTGATTATAAATCAATCCACTTCTTCATTAGTAGTAAAACATCCATCTTGTCTCTCTCTATCACACACACACACACGGTTAATCCTCCCTCTGTTAGAACTTCTTGTCCCTTGTTAGCTCATAATGAGCTAAAACAAAAACAGTTTGTGCTGTAGCTCTTTAGCTGTTTGGATTAGGCCTTCCTCAGAGAAGCTGGGTGTGTGTGTGTGTTTGCTGTGTGTTTAGTTACACAAGGCTGGGGATTTGTAGAGATGATGGGTCAAATGCAGAACCTCTTCAAAAGAGTCCAATGAGTTTCCATAATGTTATCCTTAAAAAGACTTTTGCAAGAAGTGTCTCTATAGTTCTGAGCAGCTAAAGGACAAAAATCAATACAGGACCTGACCTTCAAGTAAGAGTTAACACCCAACTTGCGTCATCTGTATTCACCTACAGGTCGTCTGTGATTTTTTTTTTTTGATACTGGACCATTATCCCGCTTATACAACGGCTACTTATCCACATTTAAAAATGGGGATTCCATACATATGTGAAAAACAGACACTCTTATTTTGAGCTTCCTGCTTCCCCATGTGCTATACTATTCACTTCCATGCACTGTAGATTAAGCTGGATTTAATCAACATTGAGTTAAGGCTTTAATTATTTTTCATTGTAGACAGCTAATGAAAGTTAAATCCTCAGCCATTCTCCTTAACGTTAAACACTGACAGTAAATTTTATGTAAAATTTTTAGACTTGTATACAGCATATTATTTGTGATTTTTGCCAGCAGTTTGTTCCTGTCTCAGGACAGAGCGAGGAGAAGGGTCTAGGTCGAGGGTGATGTAGTGTGGATGGAGTGTCTGTCAGGATTCTCTAAAGTTAACTCTTCTGCCTCCCACTGCTCCCAAGAAAATTAGAAATGTTGTCGTACGCTCTGCTTGAACCTGGACGAAGTAGCCCAATGTGAGGGCCATGGTCTGAGAGTCCACCATGTTCAGGGTTTTGGCTGCAGATGTGCCGGCTATGGGAGCTCCATCCACCTGGACGTAGTAGGTCATCTCGGCTGGGTTCTTAGGACCAGGTAGGCGTCGGATACTAACCATCTACAACACACAGGTTCTTACTGGTTAATCAAGTGAAGTCAGGTCAAGTTACAGACAAGGTCAAAGGCAAAGTCAAAGACAGGTCAAGTAACATCAAATCAAAGTCAAGCCAAGTCAAGCCAAGTCAAGGTCAAAGCCAAGCCAAGCCAAGCCAAGCCAAGCCAAGCCAAGCCAAGCCAAACCAAGCCAAGTCAAGCCAAGATCGAAGACAAACACAAAGTCAAATTCAAAGTCAAATTCAAGCCAAGCCAAGTCAAGTCAAGTCAAGTCAAAATCAAGTCAATTAAACTCAAACTCAAGTCAAAATCAGTTGAGTCAAAGTCAATTCAGACAATTCAAGTCAAGTAGGATTTACTGTCATTCTTCTCATCACAGACAGATGTGATTAGGAATGAAATATACATTTGAAATATACAATAAACAAGAAAGTAAATAGTAAACTCTTCAGTATGCAATATGTCCATCTTGACGTAATAAGGTTATTTTTCTGTCCATTAGCATTTATGTTTTACCACTACCACACCCATATTTGTAGCTGCCATGCATGTTTCGTGTCATCCTATGCCATTCTCCTATTGCTGGCTTTTAGATGAGCTTCATAGGAGCGCTCACACTCTGTGATTTTAATCCTAAGTTTCACTGCCAGAACATTGTCACCGACAGTCCTAGGTCAAAGTTGGCACTACATTAGCCACCTTTGAGCATGTCACATTATGTGTTTTAAGACCACTGATCTCAGTTTAAGCTTTTGTGATTTTTGACTGCATGTATAGTGTAGAGCTGGCTTATGGGATAGTATACAGTAGATAAGAATATATAGTATACTGTATGATAGCATAAATGACTAAATTCTACTATATTATAGTATAAACTACTATAGGATTATTTCTGCATAAAATGTATTACTCTGGCCCGTCACATGGCTAAAAATCCATTTAGATGAACAAAAGCATGCATTCACAAAGGAGTATATGACAGATAAGTCTACCTGTACAGTGTATCCACCGACGGTGGTGGCTCGTTTGATCCGGGGGCCGTGACGGCCAGCGACAAGAAAGAGCTCAGCTAAACGCTGCTCCATCAGACTAGCAAAGCTCTGATAACTGCCTTCCAGTGAGGAACTGTCGACATCCTGAATTACTGTGAGAGAAAAAAATAACAAGAGAGAAATCAAAGAGAAAATGAGGACAAAGAGGACAAAGTTATACTTCTTTCACTCCACAACCAAAAACTGCAATTACAGCCGGGCCGACCTTGCGAGAGCACATTCCTCCATGCCGACAGTGATAAAAGAGAGAAATAGCGAGACGGAGTGCATGTGTGCACAGAGACAGAATGGAATTTTCAATTTCTAATTTGCTTTTCTCACATTATTCAGCCTGACTCTGTGTGCAAGCTACACCCCTGGCATCAGAGC